GCCTGTACTGGTCTCACAAGCACCCCCCGAGGGACTTGAAGCGTAATTATGCTGCATATAATCCAGACATTAACCACCAAGCCACACTGCCCCGAGTGCACTTGGGCTATGGAATAGATGTGAATTTGCATTTCAGAGAAGGCCAGACATTGTCGCATACCACATTTTGTTGTGCGATTGTCAATGAAGCAAAGTTTTATTTGCCATATCTGAGTTCACACTACTTAGTTTTCGTTTGTAAGTAGGGTCTTGAGACTGCCAAATATCATTTATATGAGATGTATTCAATCTATTTCGTTTAAGGTGATGATGCTGAAATAAAGTAATTCAGTTGATTGTTATAGCGACAACTTTGCTTCATTGACAATCCCACGACAGAATGTGATATTGGAAAATGCTTTGCCTTCCTATAAATTCACACTGCCCTGTAACTCGTGGCAGGGTGGCGTAGTGGTCAACGTGTCGAGATTATAGGCTGCACTACCACAAGTCGGGTTCGAGTCTCACGGCGGTTCTGATGAGGCCAGTTCAGGCGAAGTGGAATTTCTTTTGGGACTTGTGGGTTAACTTCACTGTAAGCGTAAGTCCTACTGGTATTATTCTGGAAATGTTCAACTACCAATTTTTAATACCTTCAAGTCGAATAGGATGAATACATTTCTTATCTCAGATCTATTGGTAGTCTCGAAAAACCTACTTATTAAACGAGAAGGTACATGATTGTCAAACAAATCATACAAGAGCTATGAGAAATAGGTAGGATTGCAGTTGCCTGACCTACTTCTAGTGAGTGAGTAGGTTTTCAAGACTATCAGTTAATTAGTCATATGAGTTGTTTTCACCCTATTTCGTTTAAGGTGATGAAGGACTGGTAGTTGAATTTTCCCACAATCATGTGAGTAGAGCTAACGTTTCTTTGAAATTTCACATTGCCTTGCTTTCCCAAAAGGTGTTCTCATCCAGAGCCGACTGGACTGTAGTTTCGACCTCGCCTCGGTCGTATCAACACCCCCAGCGGGACTCAAACCATGTGAATGCAGCATGTGAGCTTGACACGTTAACCACTCGTCCGTATTTCCACGAGCGCCCTTTCTTGGGTCACATGGCAGGTGTGAATTTCAAGGAAGGCCAGGCTTTTGCCATAGCATATTCTTTGGTGGGATTTTCGATGAAGCAAACGTATTTTTGCCATAGCAATCAACGACATTACCTGTTTCGTGATTGAGTATGTTTTCGACGTGTTTTGGTGAACTATCGTCAAACATGTTGTCCTGCTCTCAGCAAGCCCGTCACATGACGGACAAAAGCTGAACAAAATTTCGTGCTGGTCGCAGGGTGGCGAGCTGAGGACTTATTCACGCAAAATAGATACATTCACAGCTCTAAGACAATCCTCCTTCGGGCCTCTTAAAACGAAATGGAAGTTATGCCAACATCTCTTGACTAACTCTCTGCTTGGAATTTGTAATCTCTTTCATACAAGTTGCTGGAGCAAAGGAGGATACACAAGTTGTGGGCAGGAGAATTGGCCATACAAGTTGCGATCGAGGGGTGAGGATCCTGCATAGTGCTGGGACAGGAGAAGAGGATAGATAAAGCAGATGTTGGAGAGAAAAGTGTCTAAGAGATTTGAAATGAATTCACCCAATTTCGTTTAAGGCGATGAAGGACTGGTAGAAGATGAATTTTCCCACAATGCTATGAGTTGAGCTGACGTTTCCATTAAATGTTCACATGGCCTTGCTTTCCCAATAGTTGTTTTCATCCCGGCTGGATTGGACGGCAGTTTCGACCTCGCATCGGTCTTAGCAACACCCTCAGCGGGACTCGAACCGCGACAGTGCAGGACGGTAGCTCGACACGCTAACCACTCGGCTCCACTGCCACGAGCGCCTTTTGGGTCACAAGGCAAATGTGAATTTTCAACGAAGTCCAGGCATTTTTGCCATATCATATTCTTTTGGTGGAATTGTCGATGAAGCAAACGTACATCTGCTATAACAATCGACTACCAGATTTTATTTTTCGCATTAAGTATTGTTCTCGTGAATACCAGTAAATCAGTAGTATGAGTTATATTTACCCAATTTCGTTTAAGGTGATGAAGGACTTGTAGAAGAAGAATTTTTACACAATCCAATGAGTTAAGCTGATGTTTACATTGAATTTCACTACCATTCCTTCGTCACCTTTCACGAAATTGTGTGAATACATCTCATATTAAAAGTGGGTTTTCAAGACTATCAGAGTTTTAGTCACCCTAGTTTGTATGAGTTAATGATACCATTAAATTTCCCTTCGTTTTGATTTCTAAAAGTTATTCTTCTTCTGGCTGGTCATACCTTAAGTTCGTCCTGAAATAAATTAAATTTAGTGAATAAATGGCAAGTGAAATTCAAATGGAAATTTAGGCTTACTCATCTGATTGTGGAAAAAATACTGAACCATCATACCTTCATCACCTTATGCTGCTCTGGGTGACTTGACCTCTTCATAATTTACTGATCGTTTTGAAAACCCAATTTCTCTTAATCACATCGCTGGTTTCCAACCGAGCTCATAGCACTGACGACCGAGAGGCAAAAGTATTCGTCTGGCCAACATAATTTTTTTTTTTGCTTTTTGCCATACTTTCACTTTCAGGTGTGGTTTCAGAATAGACGCGCCAAATGGCGCAAAACCGAAAAGACTTGGGGCAAAAGCAGCATAATGGCCGAGTACGGGCTCTACGGTGCCATGGTGCGACACAGTCTTCCTTTGCCCGAGACGATTCTGGAGACGGCGGTCAACGGGGTGGAGCGCTCGTGTGCTCCTTGGCTGCTCAGTAAGTCGGAAATGGATGGGACTCTCAAGAATAGTGTGATGTTTGCATGCATCTATACTTAACTACCAACAAGCATATATACATGCATACTTACATATATCCCTTTATTTAGTTGTATTTTATTATCTTTATTTTCTATTATTTGATTAATTAATTATGCTAGCCAGTTAATTATATAAATGCATGCATATCTACATATACGATGGCCAGTATAGATTCATACAGTAATGTGGTTAATCTTGTAATTGGAGAACGACCGAAGTAGCAAACCAGGAGACTGGGTTTTGAGTCGTTTTTTCGTGTGAAAATGATAGAATAAGGAATTCACAGACCCAATTTATCGGCCGACGACAGCCTCGAGGCTTCAATAGTTCTTCTGATTGTTGCTGTCCGCGTCCAAGGCTCTGTAGTTTTTATCTTGTAGGAGGGGCTTGTTGAAAAAATAAGAAAAATTACGAGACAGAAACCATTTTCAAGCAATTGAAGATAGGAAGACCAAGATGTTGTGGCATCTGGTATGATCGCAGTTGGTTGACCTCGTTGTCACAACATGGCCTTGTTGCCATGGCAACTTTTTAGAACGCACCTTATCCGAAGTCTTCTGTCATAGAAGTCATCATAATTCACAGCATCAGA